GGGGAGCCTCAGAAAACCCCGAGTCTGCGTAGTTTTGATGGAAGGCAGAATTTGAAAAGAAAAGTTAGCCCCCTTTCGCTCCCGCCTGCGCGTTCGTCAGCACCCTCAAAACGTCCGCCTGTCTCCCAACCATGCGATCTTCCTCCTTGATCTTCGTTCTTATCGTGAATTCCTCCTATCATAATGAATACTTTTGCAGATCTTCTCCTGTCCTGCAAATTTGGCTTCACATCGTCGATGGCATCGTCCGAAAGACCAGACGGAGACGTTCCGATGCATGTCCTGCGCATCAGTTTTCAGTACTCGTAAGGAGTTCAAAACACATTCATGTCGCGAACGTTCTACAATGCCATTTGAAACGCTATTCACCGGCATCCTACCCAATTCTCTCGCACCTCTCAAACTCGAAATGCACTAGTAGAGGATAGAAGTTATTGTATTCCCCATCAGAGCGATTACCTACACTACCACTTGTCATTCACGTCATTGGACCATCAATCCATTCATTCGACCATGGATGGAGAGCGTGGTTGGTAGACCAGACTACTTAGCCCTCTGGGGAGTGTGGTTCAGGCTCTTTACAAGCCCTTCCACCGAGGACGCTCATCGACACCAGAACCGCTCCGCCCTCCAGCCATGGTGTTCATTGCCTTTAAGTTTTGTAAGCCGATGTATTGACCGCCGCGCTTGCTGTGAAATTCATAGAAATTGCTGTGAAAAACCGAGCTTTAGGGAAAAGTTTGAGATTTGTCTAAGGGCATGTGCGTAACGGAATTTGAACTAACTGATCGCTTTGCCCTCTAACCAACTTTTTTTCGAAATTTGTACCTTGATACTTTACCCTCCTCACCCCTCAGACGGGGGCTTCACTGTAGCGAGCGCGGAGCTTAGCTTTCAGATTGCCTGATTCGTGAATCACTTCGTCATTCACACGCGCCGCGGCACCGGTCCACAGTAAGCTTGCGATCAATTTCGATTTCAGCTTTCCGCCACAACCGATCGAATGACTCAAATTCCACTTAGTAATTTTTGCTGAGTTTTTCTAGTCCGTCTGATTTCGAGAACTCTCGAATTTCATCTCGCTTTGTCAAGCTTTAATCGTTTGCGGCCCATGGGCCAGTAACATCACCGCCGCAGTATTTTTGTACAGTACTCTGTCCGCAGTTCTGCATTTTCGTGTACTTCTATTAGCATTCCATGTCCTGAAGAAATATCACCTTCTTCACTGAGCTCCTCTAGTCACGTGTATAGATTATATCCCAACAGAGGCTGTCCCTTGTTCAGGGACAAGGGCAGCCGCAATTTCCTTATCTATCCTTTACTCATAATCGCACAAATACGGTTCCCATGTTTGTCTTCCTATATTTGCTGTTGTTCACCACTTCACAATCGAGCTGGCCCTTCTAGTCATGTTGTACAGTCTTTCCTGTTTACTTGTTTATTATGTGGTTTATTCTTGACTTATGCAATTTAGTTTTATTTGTCACATTGAATCACCTGTTATCCATAAATTGTCAGAGAAAGGACACACCTCCGCCATCAGGATAGACCATCCCACACGAACTAACTCCCACTTGTTGGCCCGCTAATCAGTTGTTGGCAAAATGGAGACCAATGGAATA